GCGTTTGAGGGCAAGGAAACTTACATACTTGAAACTTTTTTGCAATCCTGACTCAGACTGCAATAACTCTGGATGTTTTCTAGCCACACAACTATTTCTCTCTAACTAGGTGACTAGGAAAATGGTAATCAAATCAATCAACATGGGAAAGACAGAGTGTATTTGATTTGTTCGCTGTTGATCTTTTAAGGATAAGAGGATGGGGGTAGAACATGATGAAAAAATAGGTTTATCTTTGACTATATTGAGTGGTATGTATGGGTAGGTGGAACAGAGCAGCTGACCTTCAGGAAAGAGATTAGGGCTCAGTGATAGATGAAGTCATGGGAATAAGTAAGATTTCCCAGGAAAAGAGCAAGAAAAAAAAAGTGGACTAAAGACAGACCCTGAGAGAATGCCTATTTAAAGGGAGGCAGAAATTAAAAAAGAAATCAAGCCTTCACTAGATGAAAGAGTAGCTTCAGGGAAAAGATGGGAAGAAAGATTTATCTGTCTGTCTGTCTGTCTGTTTGAAAGAGAAGACTTACAAATATTTGTAAATGCAGATCTAAGAGAAGAGCAGTCCCAAGTTTCAGACTACAAATGGAGAAGTTAGTTTTTGAAAAGATGGGGTTCAGCTCTTCATGAAAAACAGGATGGGAGCATGGATAGGAAACCAGGATGTTTTAAGGTAACACAAGTTCACGATAGGCTGGCTGGTGTGGCTTAGTGGCTGAACTTCAACCCATGTACCAGGAGGCTGCCAGTTCGGTTCCCCGTCGGGGCACAGGCCCAGGTTGCAGGCTCCATCCCTGGAGGCAGCCCATCGATGTTGATGTTTCTATCGCTCTCAAATAAAAACAAAACAAAACAAAAAAAAACATTTTTTTTCTTAAAGAAAGTTCATGATAGCCTTAATAAGAAAAGTAGAGTGAGAGGCAAGGTGATCTACTGAAACATAAAACTAAAAAAGTTTTCATCTTGATGCTGTAGCGATAACCCCAGAGCAATTACTAATCAGTAACAAAAAAAAATCACGTTCACAACCTCTACTGGATTTGAGTCCAGTCAGCTCCATGTCTCACAACTATAT